GGGGGAGCAAGACAGGCAGACAGAAACAGCTGAGGGAAATACAAGACAAGATTTACGACGTACGCCCTCCAACCACCCGCACGAAGTATTAGCCTACTTCAGTTCCGTTTATACAAAGAGAAACAAACTGACTCAGTGAGGATAATTAGTCCAGGTTTGGTAAGAGTTTTACGGCACTTTCAACACAATAAGGTCATACAGGTGCCGAAGATTAGAGGTGTTACAAGCGAGTAACAAACACAAAAAAAGGAGGAGAGATCGGGACGATAGATGTTTGATAGGAAAGAAGAAGCAAACCACTTCCAAGCACCCGCCAACCACCCATAGACAGAAACAGCTGAGGGAAATAAAAGACAAGATTTACGATTGACGCCCTCCAACCACACCCGTACAAAGAATTGGTTCAGTTTAGTTTATGTAAAGAGAACCAGACTGACACAATAAGGAAAATACAGAGCAAAGGAAGAAGCAAGACAAATAGAAATGAACAGTTGACATAAATACCGGTAAAAGAGTAAGATATGCCAGTGACGCCCTCCAACCACCCGCTCAAAGAATTGATTCCGTTTAGATTATGTAAAGGGAAAATAGACAGTCACAATAAGGGGAGAAGCAAGACATGCGGAAAAGAACAGTAGAGATGAATACACGTAAGAGAGTAAGATATGCCAGTGGCGCCCTCCAACCAATCGCACAGAGAATTGATTCCGTTTAGTTTAAGTAAAGAGAAACGAACTGACACAATAAGGATCATTAGGAGCAAGGAAGAAGGAAGACAGGTAGAAAGGAACAGTAAAGAAAAAAGACGGTAAAAGAGTAAGATAAGCCAGTGACGCCCTCTAACCACACCCGCGCAAAGAACTGATTCAGTTTAGTTTATAGATCTATACAGAAACAGACTGTCACAAGAAGGAAAATATAGAGCAAGAAAGAAGCAAGATGGGTAGAAAGGAACAGTAGAGACACATACCCGTAAAAGAAAAAGATATGCCAGTGACGCCCTCCAACCACCGCACAAAGTATTAGTTTAGTTTAGTTTATGTAAAGGGAAACAGACGGTCACAATAAGGAAAATACAGAGCAAAGGAAGAAGCAAGACAAATAGAAAGGAACAGCAGACATAAATACCTGTAAAAGAGGAAGATATACCAGTGACACCCTTCAACCACACGCACAAAGAATTAATTCCGTTTAGATTATGTAAAGAGGAAATAGACTGTCGCAATAAGGGGAGAAGCAAGACATGCGGAAAAGAACAGTAGAGATGAATACACGTAAGAGAGTAAGATATGCCAGTGGCGCCCTCCAAATCACTTGCACAAAGAATTGGCTCAGTCTTCAATATTATTTTGCATAAAAACTTTTTTTTCAAAGATCGGCCTGAAGTCGGGCAATATTTGAGATATCTCCGGAAAACCAACACCTCGGGAAGTCCAGACAGCATTCTTCTCATACCTGAGCCTAACAACCC